CTGAACCAGTCCCAGGGCCTCCTCTAGGTGAACTCGGCCTCAAATCAGTACCTGATGGTGGTGTGTAGTAAACATCACAGAACTGGGGAGACAAAGGCGGCCGAGTGAGGTGCTGGCTTCCCATCCCCTCGTGCGCCGTTTACGGCCTTAATGGGCGTGCTTGCTGTTGCTCGCTAACGGCACTTGCACCAACATCCTGTGTGAGGCTCCAGCCGTGTCTCTATCTCTGCGTGTGTGTGTGCGTGCGTGTGCGCGCGTGCGCGTGCGTGTGTGTGTATGCGTGTGAGTGTGCGTGCGTGTGCGTGTGTGCGTGTGCGTGTGTGCGTGTGTGCGTGCGTGTGTGTGTGTGCGTGTGTGTATGCGTGTGTGTGTATGCGTGTGTGTGTATGCCTGTGTGTGTATGCGTGTGTGCGTGTGTGTATGCGTGTGTGTGTGCGTGCGTGTGCGTGTGTGCGTGCGTGTGCGTGCGTGTGTGTGTGTGTATGCGTGTGTGTGTATGTGCGTGTGTGCGTGTGTGCGCGTGTGTGTGTACGTGTGTGCGTGTGCGTGCCATTGCCAGTTTCATTTTGTCCCGGAAGGCGCGGAGGCTCGCATCGCTGAGCAAGGAGGAACGGTGAGTTCAGCAACGAACCCACACACCCACTCGGTTGCAAAGACAAAGATCCCCCGTGTAGCCTGTAACCGACTGTCGGGGCAAGTGCTGTTAGTAGCGAGTAGCAGCAACGCCTATGAAGGCTACCGGCACTGTGGCACACGAGGGGGTGGGTGTTATTTACTACACATCACACACCAGGTACTCATTTGAGGCTCAGTCGACCTAGGGGAGGCCCAGGACCGGTTCAGATTTTCGCCACTGCTGGCCATGAGCAGGAATCGAGCCGGGTCGCCGGGTTTGTAGTGCTCCCCACACACACACACGATCACACACACACACACACACTGGATCTTACCTCACTTGAAAAGTTACTGACCCCTGACCCCGACCTCCTGACCCCTGGCCCATGACCCCAGGTGTCGCAGGATCTGTGACGTGTATGCTCGCGTTCTGGGCTGTGAGGAGGCGCGGCACGTGAGGGTCACATGACCAACATCACCACCATCACAATCACCACCATGATCAGGATCAACATCACCAATACCAATACCCACAATTCGCCACGAAGTCGTGGTGATGTCACCACGGCGCCTGTGCCAGGCCGGGTGCACTTTGAGCACACGTGGAATGTCGAGAGGTCTCGGCACAGACCCAGCAGGTGCCATGGGTTGGCTGACTGACATGACTATTGGAGAGTCACTGCGTCCAACTGCCCAGCAGCGTCCTTCACGAGCCTCCTCCATAGAGGCCACTGGTACCAGTCGTCGGCAAGTCCACTCAGCCCCACATCCTCCTGTACCGCATCACTCCGTCTCTTCTCCAGCCCATGTCATGCCCGTTTTGCCCCCTCTGTGCAGCCAAACAGACTCTGCTTGGCCATGCGGTGGCTGGGCATGCGGGCTACATGACCCAGCCAACGCAGCCTTGCCTGCCGGAGGAGCTCACCGATGGGACTTTGTCCAGATCTTGCAAGGATTTGTGAGCTCCTCACACAATCCATCCTGGTTAAACCCATATGTTCCATTAGAGGGGTCCACGTTTTCACAAGCATAGAGAAGAGAGGGCATGACTGGCCGATGAGACCCGAAGCTTCGTGCGGAGCAAGAGACCAAGTAGCTTCCACAAAGCATTGCACAGCCGATGAAAAGATAATGCTGCCCGACTGATTCGGAGTGAGACCTCTGTTGTCAAACCGGAGCTGGCCAAAAGCTAGTCATATCGACATCACCACCACCACCATAACCACCAACATCACAAACATCACCATCACTGGCAACGACTATCACTTGCACCACCATCACCACCACCACCATCACTTTGACAACCACAACCGCTATCACCATTGTCAACATCACCACCAACATCGCCACCATTACAAGCACTAACCATTACCACCACCACCACCAGACTCACCATGTTGTTGATATTCACGTTGTGTGTGCCCCCCCCCCAGCCCGTGCACTACGAGGAGCGTAATTGGGGGGAGGAGGCGTTCTCTGGGGGCTGCTACACAGCAGTGTGTGCACCGGGAACCCTCACGGACTTTGCCCGGTGGGAACACCCCTTCCCCGCGTGTCTCCCTCCGTGTCTCCACTGTGTCTCCCTCCTTGTCTACACCGTGTCCCCACCGTGTCTCCACTGTGTCTCCACTGTGTCTCCACTGTGTCTCCACCCGTGTCTCCCTCCGTGTCTCCACCGTGTCCACACCGTGTCCCCACCGTGTCCCATTCATCTCTCCCTCCGTGTCTCCCTCCGTGTCTCCACCGTGTCCACACCGTGTCTCCATTCATGTCTCCGCCGTGTCCCCACCGTGTCTCCACTGTGTTTCCATCCGTGTCTCCCTCCGTGTCTCCCTCCTTGTCAACACCGTGTCCCCACCGTGTCCCATTCATCTCTCCCTCCGTGTCTCCACTGTGTCTCCCTCCTTGTCTACACCGTGTCCCCACCGTGTCCACACCGTGTCCCATTCATCTCTCCCTCCGTGTCTCCGCCGTGTCCCCACCGTGTCTCCACCGTGTCCCCACCGTGTCTCCCTCCGTGTCTCCACTGTGTCCCCACCGTATCCCATTCATCTCTCCCTCCGTGTCTCCACCAGGTCCCCACCAAGTCCCCACCGTGTCTCCATTCATGTCTCCACCGTGTCCCCACCGTGTCTCCATCCGTGTCCGCACTGTGTCTCCACCGTGTCCCACGTCTCCCACCGTGTCCCCACTGTGTCCCCACATTGTCTCCACCCGTGTCTCCATCCGTGTCTCCATCCGTGTCTCCCCGTGCCCCCCCCCCCCCCCGTGTGCCCTGTGTCCTCCTGTCCTCATAGCCCCCTATAACCATCCCTCTCCGTGTCCCACCTTTGACCCCCCCCGTGCCCCCCACCCCCTGCCCCCCCCCCACCCCCGTGCCCCCCCCCAGGGGGATGAGGGAGCCGCTGGGCCGGCTGCACTTTGCTGGCACGGAGACGGCGACGCGGTGGAGCGGCTACATGGATGGCGCCATCCAAGCCGGGGAGCGCGCCGCTCGCGAGGTGGGACACGGGGGTAGACGCTAGGGGGGTGGACAATCAGGCAAGGGGGAGACACGAGTGGGGACACGCGGCGGGAGACACTGCGTGAGACACAGCGAGATGGCGGCTGCGTGCGCTTTGCTGCAGATTCTGCACGAGATGGGGAAGATATCACGGAGCGAGATCCTCACGGAGCCCGAGCCTTGTCTGGTGAGAACCCCTCGCCAACCACTCACCACCCACCCACCACCCACTCAACCATTCAGCGCTAACTCATTACTCACTCACTCACCCACTCACCACTCAATCACCATCATTCACACATCCACTTTCTTATGCACTTCCTCAATCAGTGAGCCACTCACCACTCCCTCACTCACTCACTCAACCGCTCATCACTCGGCCACTCACTCACTCAACCGCTCATCACTCTACCACTCATTAACTCAATCGCTCACCACTCGCCCACTCGCCCACTCGGCCACTTGCCCACTCATTAACTCAATCGCTCATCACTCGCCCACTCACTCACTCGCTCACTCACCCACTCAATCACTCATCACTCACCCACCATCCACCCATCACTCACTCCACCACACACCGCCCACTCCCTCACCCACTCACTAGGCATCAACTCACTCACCACTCACTCACCATCATTCACCCATCCACTTTCCTACGCGCTCACCTCCTTAATCAGTGAACCACTCACCATTCTACCACTCACTAAAATTCTCACTCACTCTCCACTCGTTCACTCACTCAAGCACTCACCACTCGCCCACTCACCACTCAATCACTCCACCACTCACCACTCACTCAAGCACTCACCACCCACTCCCTCACCCACTCACTACGCATTCACTCAATCACCACTCACTCACCATAATTTACCCATCCTCTTGCTTACGCACTCACCTCCTCAATCAGTGAACCACTCACCACTCGCCCACTCACTCACTCACTCAACCGCTCACCACTCTACCACTCATTAACTCAATCACTCACCACTCGCCCACTCACTCACTCGTCCATTCACTCACTCATTCACTCACCACTTGCCCACTCACTCAACCACTCACCACTCGCCCACTCACTCACTTGCCCACTCACTCACTCGACCACTCACTTACTCACTCAATCACTCACCACTCGCCCAGTCACTCACTCAACTACTCACCACGAGCCCACTCACTCACTCCATCACTCACTCACTCCATCACTCACTCACTCATTCACTCACCATTTGCCCACTCACTCACTCAACACTCACGCACTCAATCATTAATCGCTTACTCATCACTCACCACTTTCATTACTCGCTCACTCAACCACTCACCACCCACTCCCTCACCCACTCACCACTCACCACGCATCAACTCAATCACCACTCACCATCATTCACCCATCCACTTACTTACGCACTCACCTCCTCAATCAGTGAACCACTCACTCACTCAACCACTCACCACTCGCCCACTCACTCACTCAACCACTCACCTACTCAATCACTCACCACTCACCTACTCACTCACTCACTCAACCTCTCACCACTCACCTACTTACTCACTCAACCACTCACCACTCACTCACTCACCTACTCACTCACTCACTCAACCACTCACCACTCACTCACTCAAACACTCACCACTCACCCACTCACTCACTCACCACTCACCTACTCACTCACTCACTCAACCTCTCACCACTCACCTACTTACTCACTCAACCACTCACCACTCCCTCACTCACTCACCTACTCACTCACTTAAACACTCACCACTCACTCACTCAACCACTCACCACTCACCTACTCACTCACTCAACCACTCACCACTCACTCACTCACTCACCTACTCACTCACTCAACCACTCACCACTCACTCAACCACTCACCACTCACCCACTCACTCACTCAACCACTCACCACTCACTCACTCAACCACTCACCACTCACCTACTCACTCACTCAACCACTCACCACTCACTCACTCACTCACCTACTCACTCACTCAACCACTCACCACTCACTCACTCAACCACTCACCACTCACCCACTCACTCACTCACCACTCACCTACTCACTCAACCTTTCACCACTCACCTACTTACTCACTCAACCACTCACCACTCACTCACCTACTCACTCACTCACTCAACCACTCACCACTCACTCACACAACCACTCACCACTCACCTACTCACTCACACAACCACTCACTCACTCACTCGTTCAACCACTCACTCACTCAACCACTTACCTACTCACTCACTCAACCAACTCCCTGTGTCTCCCCCTGCGTCTCCCAATTTCTCTCCCCGTGAGTCTCCCCACGTGTCTCCCCGTCTCCCTCCGTGTGCCCCCTACCCTCCTTGCGTGCACCCCTCCCCCCAACCCCCGCATGCCCCCCACCCCCCTACACCCCCACCCCACCAGGAAGTCCCCGCGTTGCCGATGCGGCGCTCCCTGCTGGAGCGAGCGCTCCCCTCCGTGGGGGGCCTCCTACGCCTCCTGGGCTTCACGGGGGCCCTGGCGGCCGCCGCCACTACGGCGGCCCTCGTAGCGGGCCGGAGGGGCCACCTCGCCCTGCGCTAGCGGAGACACGGGGCTGGTTGTCATGGTGACGGGATGTGTGGTTGTCATGGTGACGGAGGGGGTTGTCTGGTTGTCATGATGACGGGATGTGTGGTTGTCATGGTGACGGAGGGGGTTGTCTGGTTGTCATGATGACGGGATGTGTGGTTGTCATGGTGACGGAGGGGGTTGTGTGGTTGTCATGATGACGGGATGTGTGGTTGTCATGGTGACGGAAGGGGGTTGTGTGGTTGTCATGATGACGGGATGTGTGGTTGTCATGGTGACGGAGGGGGTTGTCTGGTTGTCATGACGACGGGATGTGTGGTTGTCATGGTGACGGAGGGGGTTGTCTGGTTGTCATGATGACGGGATGTGTGGTTGTCATGGTGACGGAGGGGGTTGTCTGGTTGTCATGACGACGGGATGTGTGGTTGTCATGGTGACGGAGGGGGTTGTCTGGTTGTCATGACGACGGGATGTGTGGTTGTCATGGTGACGGAGGGGGGTTGTCTGGTTGTCATGATGACGGGATGTGTGGTTGTCATGGTGACGGAGGGGGTTGTCTGGTTGTCATGACGACGGGATGTGTGGTTGTCATGGTGACGGGTGCCGTCTCTGAATAAACCCTCACCTTCACCGCTTCTCACTTCTCAAGTTTGTGGAGCTGCAGGCCGCATTCCCGGCTCGGTGCTGTTCAGGCCGCTAGAGGCCGCTATAGCTGCGCCGTCCTTGGTCTACTCTTCCACGCCGGCCCAGACCTCTTGGCAGCGGCGGGAGAATGCCCACACTTTACCCCACCCATTGGCACCACGCTGCTGCAAGGTGGTGGATGGTGGTGGTGGTGTGTAAACATCGTCACTGGGGAGACAAAGGCGGTCGGGCGTGGTCCCAGTCACCCACCCCCTCGTGTGCCACAGTGCCGGTAGCCTTCACAGGCGCTACTCGTTCACAGCACTTGCCCCAACACTCTTGTGTCAAGGCCACACGGGGGATCTTTGGTGGTGGTGGTGGTGGAGGGAATCTTGGCGGCCAGCTGGATCGCGAGTCACAGCACAACAGCAGCAGCTGGGGTAGCAACCGCTCCACTGCTGGATGGGCAGTGGCGAGACAGCACGACACGGGACCCCCCTCCTCCCTCCCCTCCTCCTCCTCCACCCCTCCTCCTCCACCCCCTCCCCTCCTCCTCCACCCCCTCCCCTCCTCCACCCCCTCCCCTCCTCCTCCACCCCCTCCCCTCCTCCTCCACCCCCTCCCCTCCTCCCTCCACCCCCTCCCCTCCACCCCCTCCCCCTCCCTCCTCCACCCCCTCCCCTCCTCCTCCACCCCCTCCCCTCCTCCACCCCCTCCACCCCCTCCCCTCCTCCACCCCCTCCCCTCCTCCTCCACCCCTCCCCTCCTCCACCCCTCCCTCCACCCCCTCCCCTCCTCCTCCACCCCCACCCCTCCTCCACCCCCACCCCTCCTCCTCCACCCCCTCTCCTCCTCCTCCACCCCCTCCCCTCCTCCTCCACCCCCTCCTCTCCCGACTGAGTGGCTCAATGGGAACGAGGGCGAGTTCGGGCAACGTCATCGCGCACGAGCGCGTGCGCGGTGACGTCACCACGCAAACCGCGCGCGGTGACGTCACCACGCAAACCGTACGAGCTGGCGTCACTTGCGCGCTCGGCGTTCGCGGACCCGTAAGCGATGACGTCAGCGCGGGCACATGTCCGAGAGCGATGACGTCGCCACGCACATTCGTCGTTATGTGATGACGTCATCACGCCGCGACGAACACGGGGGAGAGGAGGTAGGGAGGGAGACACGGGGACTGTGAGGGAGACACGGGACACTGAGGGAGACACGGGGACTATGAGGGAGACACGGGGACTGTGAGGGAGACACGGGGACTATGAGGGAGACACGGGGACTGCGAGGGAGACACGGGGACTGCGAGGGAGACACGGGGACTATGAGGGAGACACGGGCACTATGAGTGAGACACGGGGACTATGAGGGAGACACGGGGCACTGTGAGGGAGACACGGGGACTATGAGGGAGACACGGGGACCGTGAGGGAGACACGGGGCACTATGAGTGAGACACGGGGACTATGAGGGAGACACGGGGACCGTGAGTGAGACACGGGGCACTATGAGTGAGACACGGGGACCGTGAGGGAGACACGGGACACTGTGAGGGAGACACGGGGACTGTGAGGGAGACACGGAGTGTGAGGGAGACACGGGGACTGTGAGGGAGACACGGGGACTATGAGGGAGACACGGAGTGTGAGGGAGACACGGGGACTATGAGGGAGACACGGGGACTGTGAGGGAGACATGGGGCACTGTGAGGGAGACACGGGGACCGTGAGGGAGACATGGGGACTGTGAGGGAGACACGGGGACTATGAGACACGGGACACTGTGAAGGAGACACGGGGACTATGAGGGAGACACGGGGACTGTGAGGGAGACACGGGGACTATGAGGGAGAGACGGGGACTATGAGGGAGACACGGGGACTGTGAGGGAGACACGGGGACTGTGAGGGAGACACGGGGACTATGAGGGAGACACGGGGCACTATGAGTGAGACACGGGCACTGTGAGGGAGACACGGGGACTATGAGGGAGACACGGGGACTGTGAGGGAGACACGGGGACTGTGAGGGAGACACGGGGACTGTGAGGGAGACACGGGGACTATGAGGGAGACACGGGGACTATGAGGGAGACACGGGGACTGTGAGGGAGACACGGGGACTGTGAGGGAGACACGGGGACCGTGAGGGAGACACGGGGACTATGAGACACGGGACACTGTGAGGGAGACACGGGGACTATGAGGGAGAGACGGAGACTATGAGGGAGACACGGGGACTGTGAGGGAGACACGGGGACTGAGGGAGACACGGGGACCGTGAGGGAGACACGGGGATCGTGAGGGAGACACGGGGACTATGAGGGAGACACGGGGACCGTGAGGGAGACACGGGGACTATGAGGGAGACACGGGGACTGTGAGGGAGACACGGGGACTATGAGGGAGACACGGGGACTGTGAGGGAGACACGGGGACTATGAGGGAGACACGGGGACTATGAGGGAGACACGGGGACTATGAGGGAGACACGGGGACTATGAGGGAGACACGGGGACTATGAGGGAGACACGGGGCACTGTGAGGGAGACACGGGGACTATGAGGGAGACACGGGGACCGTGAGGGAGACACGGGGACTATGAGGGAGACACGGGGACTATGAGGGAGACGCGGGGCACTGTGAGGGAGACACGGGGACTATGAGGGAGACACGGGGATCGTGAGGGAGACACGGGACACTTTGAAGGAGACACGGGGACTGTGAGGGAGACACGGGGACTGTGAGGGAGACATGGTACACTGTGAGGGAGACACGGGGATCGTGAGGGAGACACGGGGACTGTGAGGGAGACACGGGGCACTGTGAAGGAGACACGGGACACTGTGAAGGAGACACGGGGATCGTGAGGGAGACACGGGGACTGTGAGGGAGACACGGGACACTGTGAGGGAGACACGGGGACCGTGAGGGAGACACGGGGCACTGTGAGGGAGACACGGGACACTGTGAAGGAGACACGGGGGCTATGAGGGAGACACGGGGACTGTGAGGGAAACACGGGACACTGTGAAGGAGACACGGGGATCGTGAGGGAGACACGGGGACTGTGAGGGAGACACGGGACACTGTGAGGGAGACACGGGGCACTGTGAGGGAGACATGGGGATCGTGAGGGAGACACGGGGCACTGTGAAGGAGACACGGGACACTGTGAAGGAGACACGGGGACCGTGAAGGAGACACGGGGCACTGTGAGGGAGACACGGGGGCTATGAGGTAGATACGGGGGAGCCTCCCTCCTCTACACCAATCAAGTCCCTGTCACGTACCCCCCTCCCCCTGCCTGGAGGGGTGAGATGGGCGGGTTGCAGGGTCCACCACCACAAGTGGCCAGGCAGTGATGCTGCATCACTCACTACCTGGTCGCTTTTGGTGGTGAACCTCAGCTTGCCCTGTGGCGTTCAACTTCATTCGGAAGTCTCGTGCCTCGTACCGCACGCGGCCTGAGGTTTGGAGGCCCCCTGGCAGTCCGAGGCCCCGGGGCACTGGCCCCACTGACCCAAAGGCCCGGTCCATAATCCAGCTTTGGTGATGCAGGTGAGTGTGGCAGTGTAAACTACACAAATACAATGATCCCCCGAATAGCCTTTACCAGACTGTTGGGGCAAGTGCTGTTCGCGAGCGCTTTTGAAGGCAGTCACCGTGGCACACGTAGCGGTGGCTGGCCAACGCCATGCCCGGCCGCCTTTGTCTCCCTAGTGGCGATGTTCACTACACACTGCCACCAAGTACTCATTTGAGGCTGAGTCGACCTAGGGGAGGCCCATGACCGGTTCAGATAATTGTTACTGGTGGTGGCCGTGAGCGGGAATTGAACTCGGGTCGTCACCACCACAACTCTCTTTTGGTGATGGGGCAGTTGTGGGAAAGAGTGGAGAGTTTTCCATATGTGGAGGAGTATTGTGGGTATTCAATGAAGGGTACTCAAGGGTTTTCGGATGGCTCTTGCGAGAAGTGGGTGGTGCCAAGAAAGAGGAGGAGCCGGCCAAAGAGGCCTTAAGGGGGACCCCAAGTCAGGAGCGGGGTCGTCGTTGGGGGCCAGGGCAAGGATCGGCTGGAAGAGGGTCTCCTCGTCGCGGAGCGGTGTTGGCTTATACCCCGCTCCGGGGCAGACGAGTGAGAGAGCCAAATGCATAGCTGGGGTAGGGTCCTAAGAGTTACTAAGTGTATGGGTTAAGGACTGAGATAGAGTGCACCTACACAGGTGTGAGTGTAGGATGCCGAGTGTGGAAGTGGTTCATAAACGGTAGCAGCCCTTAAAGTTTTGATTTAAAGCTTTCGTGACTGCAGTAATTCATATGCTTAGCTCTTTCGGTAAAGTCACGTTGAAGGGAAACAATAAAATAATAAAATATATATAAAACAATAAAAATTATCGCGACATTTCGACCATAACACAAACGGTCGTCATCAGGTGTGTCGGTTTGCATTAATTTATTTAATTTTAAATGGTGTATTTATTTATTTATAAAAAAACGTCAGCGCCATGCGCAGCGATTTGGCAGTTTATTTAGAAGAACTAGTCCATCTATGTTCTGAAAAGAGGAGGGGGGAGACGAAAAATTTATGTATGCTGTCTGAAAGCCACTGTAAGCGTGAACAATCAATTAAGACCTGAAATGATTTATCAAATTTTTCCAATGATTGCCAAGCCAGAATCCATCTCTCGGTTGAAATTGTCTCTGTGCTTGTATATGTGGATAGCCTCATGAACGAATCTCTCATGGTAGCCAGATGGCTTACAAAGAACCTCTGTCTTGGAAAAGTCAATGTCATGTGAGCCTACTGAATTATAACAATGATCTGCCACGGCCGAGGTGTTGGTCCTACCGTGTTTAAGGTCTGCATTGTGTTCACGAATGCGGTCTGAGACATGGCGTTTGGTTTCTCCAATGTAACTACTACCACAGAGGCAACTTAGTTTGTAGACACCAGGGTACTGTATGTCCGGACTCACATCTTTTATAGACGGAACCAGATCACGGATTTTATGTAATGTGTTGAAACGGACCTGGATCTTGTGTTTATTCAAGATTTTGGAGATCTTTTTTGTGATCCCCGCAATGTAGGGTAAAGTGATGGTTTTGAAAGGCTCCTCAAGAGGGTCCTTCTTCAGGTTCTCACCCAAGATTTGACGGTACATGGCCCCGTCCATCGTCCCTTTGATGCGGTGAAGTTGTCCTGTCCCCATAGCAGAAAAACACCCCCAAAGCATAATGTTTCCACCTCCATGTTTGACGGTGGGGATGGTGTTCTTGGGGTCATAGGCAGCATTCCTTCTCCAAACACGGCGAGTTGAGTTGATGCCAAAGAGCTCCATTTTGGTCTCATCTGACCACAACACTTTCACCCAGTTGTCCTCTGAATCATTCAGATGTTCATTGGCAAACTTCAGACGGTCATGTAGATGTGCTTTCTTGAGCAGGGGGACCTTGCGAGCGCTGCAAGATTTCAGTCCTTCACGGCGTAGTGTGTTACCAATTGTTTTCTTGGTGACTATGGTTCCAGCTGCCTTGAGATCATTGACAATATCCTCTCGTGTAGTTTTAGGCTGATTCCTCACCGTTCTCATGATCATTGCAACTCCACGAGGTGAGATCTTGCATGGAGCCCCAGGTCGAGGAAGATTGACAGTTCTTTTGTATTTCTTCCATTTGCGAATAATCACACCAACTGTTGTCACCTTCTCACCAAGCTGCTTGGCAATGGTCTTGTAGCCAATTCCAGCCTTGTGTAGGTCTACAATCTTGTCCCTGACATCCTTGGAGAGCTCTTTGGTCTTGGCCATGATGGAGAGTTTGGAATCTGATTGATTGATTGCTTCTGTGGACAGGCGTCTTTTATACAGGTAACAAGCTGAGATTAGGAGCACTCCCTTTAAGAGTGTGCTACTAATCTCAGCTTGTTACCTGTATAAAAGACACCTGGGAGCCAGAAATCTTTCTGACTGAGACGGGGTCAAATACTTATTTCCCTCATTAAAATGCAAATCAATTTATAACATTTTTGACATGCGTTTTTCTGGATGTCTTTGTTATTCTGTCTCTCACTGTTCAAATAAACCTACCATTAAAATTATAGACTGATCATTTCTTTGTCAGTGGGCAAACGTACAAAATCAGCAGGGGATCAAATACTTTTTTCCCTCACTGTACATGGGCAGTGTGCTCATGACCAGCTCCGGTTTGTCAGCAGAGGTCTCACTCCAAATCATCCGAGCAGCATTATCGTTTCATCGGCTGCGTAACGCTGTGTGGAAGCTGCCTGGTCTGTCGCTCCACACAAAGCTTCGGTTTTTCTCAACCACGGTCATGCCCTCCCTTCTCTATTCTTGCGAAATGTGGACCCCCCTAATGGAAAATCTTCACCAGTTAGACACATTCATGCTGGCTTGCCTATGATACATCGGCCTCTGTGGAGGAGGCTTGTGAATGACGCTACTGGACAGTTGGAGGCATTTGCCCTCCAGCAACAATGGAGGGCAGAGGAGCGATGCTCACAACAGCAAGCGGAGCGCCGGGTGGCTAAAGCACAGCAAGTTGGAACAATAGGGGGCACAGGTGGTGGATCAGCCAGTCATCTCAATAAGGCAATTCATGGCACCTGGGTCTGTCCTGTGACCTGCCAGCTGGCGTTTCGACACTTCACAGGGCCTTAACGTGCACATCGCCCGGCCCAAATGCCGTTGTGACATCACCGCCACTTAGTGGCGAATGGTGGTTGTTGTGTGTGTGGCGGGGAGCGGTGGTGTAGCGGTTATCGCACTGCACTCCGAACCCGGCGACCCAATTTCGATTATCTGCACCGGTCCTGGGCCTTCCCTAGGCGGACTCAGCCTCATATGGGTACCTGGAGCTTTGTGTGTACACATGTAGTGACATAAATGACGTCACTACTGTGTTGCGACAGTACCAAGGGTATGTGGGGTGCCTCTCTTTGGCACCGGCGTGAGCACGGCACGCCATGACCCGCTAGAGGCCAGGGTGTGATACCCTGGATGAACCCGAGAGGGCACGTGACCGGATGAGGGGGGCCAGGGGACCCCCAGATGGGGGTGCGAGGGTCATGCGAGGAGGGACCCGGGCGTTGCCGAAGGATCTGAAAAGGGGGCGTGGCCAAGGGGCGGAGCTGGCCACGCCTCAGCAGTTATGAGCCACGTCTCGAGAGGGATCTGGGCTGTCCGTCGCAGGGAAAAAAATCCTCCTTCGTCGTCGAGCCTGGGAACTCGATCTCCGGTCCTCGCAACAGCGGACCGGGCAGCGTGTTCGCTGTCCTGGTCCAATTGTAGTTGTCCCGTCCAATGTGTATAGGGGCCGTCCATAAATGACGTCACACGGCGTCACAAAAAGTCAGACCCCCCTCAAATGACGTCACATAACTCTGCCCCCCCCCCCCCCAAAAAAAAACATGCTTCAAATCGCTTTAAAACTATCGTTGTCATTGTAGTGCGTATTTATAATGTGGTGCTGCACTCTGATGTTGTAGGAGAAAATATTTATTAAAAAGTCTATTTAATTAAGTAGAACGTGTTGTCTATATTTATTTAAAGTTGCGCATTTTGATGTGACGTCACATTTCTCAAACCCCCCCCCCCTCGTCACACATCGTCACAAATATCTGACTACCCCACCCCCCTAGGTGCGTGACGTCATTTATGTCAGCCGTGGTGGTCACCACCCTAAGTTGTTAGTTTTAACAGTTACTCAGTGGTGTTAATTAATAAGTGTGTTGCCTCCAAGATCAAGTGTGCACCTGATTGAACCCACTACACGTTTAAAAACAATTGCCACTGCAGAGACAAACACAGCCGGGCATGTTGCTGGCCACCGACCCACCCTCCCCGTGTGCCACTGTGGTGAGAGCACGCCGCACTACAAACTCGGCGATTCCCGCTCACGGCCAACAGCAGTGATGTCGATTATTGCCACTGGGAGATCCGGTGGTGTGGGTGCTGGCCACCCACCCCACACCCAACCCACCCTGCCGCTCGCTACTAACATAACGCCGCCATTGTCTTTGCTCTCCACTCAGGCACAGAGCGGGCGCCATGTGGATGCTTCGCCCGACCCCGTGGCGAACTCTGGCCTGTTCCGTGGTGGCCGTGAGAAGGGGGGCCGCCATGGGCCCCCCAAAACCCGGGCCCCTCGCCCTGCTCGCCTGCAGACCAAGAGACACCTACCTGGGTAACATTGTACCAGCGTTTGATATTATAGCCTGCATTGACAACAGTTCAAATTCATAGCCTGCATTAACATGGTGAGAAATCATAGCCTGCATTGGCGCAGTTGTAAATCAGTCTGCGTTGACACTCGGTTAGCTATCGTTACCTGCATTAGCACAGTGATAAATCAAAGCCTGTATTAACAAACTGTTAGAATTCATATCCTGCATTAACACTGTCAGAAATCATAGTCTGCATTAACATGATTATAAATCATAGTCTACATTAACATACAACGGATTTCACGTTTTAATTCGATTTTGCATGACCAGGTGAGAGAATATTCCCCATGTCTCCATCTCCCCATGTCCCCATCTCCCCGTGTCTCCATCTCCCCATGTCCCCATCTCCTCGTGTCTCCATCTCCCCGTGTCCCCATCTCCCCATCTGCCCATCTCCCCGTGTCTCCATCTCCCCGTGTCCCCATCTCCCTGTGTCTCCATCTCCCCGTGTCTCCATCTCCCCATGTCCCCATCTCCCCGTGTCTCCATCTCCCCGTGTCCCCATCTCCCCATGTCTCCATCTTCCCGTGTCCCCATCTCCCCGTGTCCCCATATCCCCTTGTCTCCATCTCCCCGTGTCTCCATCTCCCCGTGTCCCCATCTCCCCATGTCTCCATCTTCCCGTGTCCCCATCTCCCCGTGTCCCCATCTCCCCGTGTCCCCATCTCCCCGTGTCCCCATCTCCCCGTGTCTCCATCTCCCCCGTGTCTCCATCTCCCCGTGTCCCCCGTGCAGACCTGGTATTTGGGGTCTCCTCAAAACCCATCGATGCGGAACCGGGGGTGCGAAGAGCCGATGAGGAGACGGTGGTGAGCGGCGGCGATGAGGAGGAGGGTGAGGGCGAGGAGGTGGTGGTGAGCGTGGACTACGTGTGGCTGCGCGACCACTGCCGTGCGCACGGCTCCAGCGTGCGTGTGGACACGGGCCAGCGCCTGCTGGATACGGCCTCCATCCCCCTGGACGTGCGGCCTCGCGGAGCACGCGTGCACGGGGACACACTCACCCTCACGTGTACGTGTGCACGCAGGTGTTTGTGTGTACACGTGCGTGCAGTAGACACACTTGTACACATGTACGATCACCGCTGTGTACGCTCACAGCTGTGTACGCTCACCGCTGTGTACGCTCACAGCTGTGTACGCTCACAGCTGTGTACGCTCACCGCTGTGTACGCTCACCGCTGTGTACGCTCACAGCTGTGTACGCTCACCACTGTGTACGCTCGCCACTGTGTACGCTCACCGCTGTGTACGCTCACCGCTGTGTACGCTCACAGCTGTGTACGCTCACAGCTGTGTACGCTCACCACTGTGTACGCTCGCCCCCGTGTGTGCGTAGGGCTGGACGGCCACGTGAGTGAGTACGCGGGGTCGTGGCTTTTCAACGCCAGTGGCGAGCGTCAACGGCACTCGCTCACCCAGCCTCACACTCACCTGTGGGACTGGCTCACCCTGCAGAGGCTCGCTCACCACGACCCAGGTACGGCTCGCTCACCCGCCAGGCTCACACAGCCACTCACTCACTATGCCACTCACCACGCCACTCACTCAACCAGCCACTCACCACGCCACTCGCTCGCCCAGCCACTCACTCAGCCCAGCCACTCACCACGCCACTCAGTCACCCAGCCACTCACCCACCATGCCGCTCAACCACTATGCCGCTCACCCACCACTCCACTCACTCGGCCAGCTACTCACTCACCCAGCCACTCACCCCAGCCACTCGCTCATGCAGCCACTCACTCATGCAGCCACTGAGTCACCCAGCCACTCACTTAGCCTCACATGCACCACACCACTCAGCCTCAGACGCTCACCATGCCACTCACTCACCACTCACTGACCACTCCAATCACCACGCCATTCACTCAGTCACTAGCTCACCCAGCCACTCACCCACCTCCCCCACCCCACCCAGCGGTGCTGCTGGGTGAGCGCTGTGCGGCGGTGCTGGACTGTGAGGCCGCTCTGTGCCGGGTGCTGCTGGGGCTGGCGATCACCCAGCCACTCAGGCTCACACTCACCACACCACTAACTCACCCATCCACTCATTAACTCACCCACTCACTCACTCACTCACCCAACTACTCACCCAGCCTCACGCTCAGCATACCACTCACTCACCCAGCCACTCACTCGCCACTCCAATCACCACGCCATTCACTCAGTCACTAGCTCACCCAGCCACTCACCACTCACTCACCCAACTACTCACCCAGCCTCACACTCAGCACACCACTAACTCACCCATCCACTCATTAACTCACCCACTCACCCAACTACTCACCCAGCCTCACACTCAGCATATACCACTCACTCACCCAGCCACTCACTCACCACTCCAATCACCACGCCATTCACTCAGTCACTAGCTCACCCAGCCACTCACCACTCACTCACCCAACTACTCACCCAGCCTCACGCTCAGCACACCACTCACTCACCCATCCACTCATTAACTCACCCACTCACCCAACTACTCACCCAGCCTCACACTCAGCATATACCACTCACTCACCCAGCCACTCACTCACCACTCCAATCACCACGCCATTCACTCAGTCACTAGCTCACCCAGCCACTCACCACTCACTCACCCAACTACTCACCCAGCCTCACGCTCAGCACACCACTCACTCACCCAGCCACTCACCCACCTCCCCTCCCCCCCCCACCCAGCGGTGCTGCTGGGTGAGCGTTTTGCGGCGGTGCTGGACTGTGAGGACGCTCTGCGCCGGGTGCTGCACCGCCTCTTGCTGCTCGGCTTCGCTGTCGTGAGGGAGACGCCCCCCACCATGGACGCCACACGAGCGGTGGCAGAGCGCCTCTCATTCATCCGGTACCAACACCACCAGCACCAACACCGCCACCAACGCCACCAATGACACCAACACCGCTACCAGCACCAGCACCACCGCCAACACCACCAACACCATCATCAACACCGCCATTAACGTCACCACCAGGCTACATGACCCAACCAACGTAGCCTTGCCTGCCGGAGAAACTCACCGATGGGACCTTGCCCAGATCTTTCAAGGATTTGTGAGCTCCTCACACAATCCAGCCTGGTTAAACGTTTACCAGGATGGATCGTAGGCAGGCGAGCCTAAATGTTTCTAACCGGCGAAGATGTTCTATTAGGGGAGGTACACATTTCGCAAGTGTAGAGAAGGCAGGGAAGGACCGTGGTTGAGAAGCCCCAAAACTTCGTGTGGAGCGAAAGACCAGGTAGCTTCCACACAGCATTACGCAGCTGATGAATATATATATAGCCGCTCGACTGATTTAGAGTGAGACCTAATCTGTCATAAGCACACTGCCCAGGTATGGAAAACTCTCCACTATCTCCACAACTGCCCCATCACTAAAGGGGAGTTGAGGGGGTGGAGTGTTTGATGACACAAAATTACCCAGGCAGCCGCTTAGTTTTGGTGGGGCTGATGGTAAATCCCCACCTCTCAGCAGCAGTGACTCCAATTCATCCTCTGAGTGAGCAGCAATGACCAGATCATCAGCATACATAACATGGTTGACCATTAGGGAGCCATCCCTTGACAGCACCCGGGCATCGATCAGCCTCCATTGTACCTGCAACAGATGGAGATTCCTCCGGTACAGCCATCGAACGCTTCACAAACTACGTGGGTCAAATAGATGTTAAATTATGTGGGAGCCAGAGGACATCCCTGTCGCACCCCAAGGTGAACAGGGAATGGCTCCGACTCCCGTTTTACCGTGGCCTGCTCACCACCTTAATTAGCGTGAGCAGAGAGTCAGGGACTCCGAAAGCACGAAGAACAACCCAGAGCCCAGGCCTACTGTAGGTATCATAGGCCTTGACCTGGTTAATAAAGCAGAGATGTAGATCTTGTAGGAATTGCCTACACCTCTGCTCACACCACCACCGCCACTACCAACACCGCCACCAGCAACACCCCAAGACCACTCATAATCTTCCTGCTGCTGCAGCCAGTGACAATGTGGTGATTGTGCAGGGGAGACGTGATGATGATTGCGGTGTTGGTGGGAGTGGTGTTCGTATACTTGATGGTTGTCGTTTTTGTGGTGGTCGCGAGGGAGACGGTGTTTGGCCGCATTTATGAGTGGTATTGATGGTTGCGGTGGTGGTGGTTGTGCTGGTGGTTGTAATCATGATGGTGGTGGTTGTGATGGTAGTAGTGGTGGTAGGGGTGATTGTAATTGTGGTGGTTGTATTGATTGTGGTGGTTTGCGATTGTGGTGATTGTGATGGTGGTTGTGGAAGTTGTAGTTCTGGTGGTGGTGATTGTGGTGGTTGTGATAGTTGTGGTGGTTGTGGTGGTTCTGGTGTTTACTAGGGAGACGGTGTTTGGCCGCATGTGGGAATTCTCCGCGGACGGTGAGCGGAGTGACACGGCCTACACCGCGGAGTCTCTGGACCGCCACACGGATACCACCTACCTGCACGAGCCTGCCAGGTACTCGCCAGCACACCACCTACCTGCATGAGCCTGCCAGGTACTCGCCAGCACACCACCTACCTGCATGAGTCTGCCAGGTACTCGCCAAGACACCACCTACCTGCACGAGCCCGCCAGGTACTCGCCAAGACACCACCTACCTGCACGAGCCCGCCAGGTACTCGCCAAGACACCACCTACCTGCACGAGCCCACCAGGTACTCGCCAAGACACCACCTACCTGCACGAGCCCACCAGGTACTCGCCAAGACACCACCTACCTGCACGAGCCCACCAGGTACTCGCCAACACACCACCTAACTGCATGAGCCTGCCAGGTACTCGCCAACATACCACCTACCTGCATGAGCCCACCAGGTACTCGCCAAGACACCACCTACCTGCACGAGCCCGCCAGGTACTCCCCAACATACCACCTACCTGCACGAGCCCACCAGGTACTCGCCAAGACACCACCTACCTGCACGAGCCCACTAGGTACTCGCCAAGACACCACCTACCTGCACGAGCCCACCAGGTACTCGCCAAGACACCACCTACCTGCACGAGCCCACCAGGTACTCGCCAAGACACCACCTACCTGCACGAGCCCACCAGGTACTCGCCAACACACCACCTAACTGCATGAGCCTGCCAGGTACTCGCCAACATACCACCTACCTGCATGAGCCTGCCAGGTACTCGCCAAGACACCACCTACCTGCACGAGCCCACCAGGTACTCGCCAAGACACCATCTACCTGCATGAGCCTGCCAGGTACTCGCCAAGACACCACCTACCTGCACGAGCCCGCCAGGTACTCGCCAACATACCACCTACCTGCATGAGCCTGCCAGGTACTCGCCAAGACACCACCTACCTGCACGAGCCCACCAGGTACTCGCCAAGACACCATCTACCTGCATGAGCCTGCCAGGTACTCGCCAAGACACCACCTACCTGCACGAGCCCGCCAGGTACTCGCCAACATACCACCTACCTGCATGAGCCTGCCAGGTACTCGCCAACATACCACCTACCTGCACGAGTCCACCAGGTACTCGCCAAGACACCACCTACCTGCACGAGTCCACCAGGTACTCGCCAAGACACCACCTACCTGCACGAGCCTGCCAGGTACTCCCCAACATACCACCTAACTGCATGAGCCTGCCAGGTACTCGCCAAGACACCACCTACCTGCACGAGCCCGCCAGGTACTCGCCAACATACCACCTACCTGCACGAGCCCACCAGGTACTCGCCAAGACACCACCTACCTGCACGAGCCCACCAGGTACTCACCAAGACACCACCTACCTGCACGAGTCCGCCAGGTACTCGCCAACATACCACCTACCTGCACGAGTACACCAGGTACTCGCCAAGACACCACCTACCTGCACGAGTCCACCAGGTACTCGCCAAGACACCACCTACCTGCACGAGCCTGCCAGGTACTCACCAAGACACCACCTACCTGCACGAGTCCGCCAGGTACTCGCCAACATACCACCTACCTGCACGAGTACACCAGGTACTCGCCAAGACACCACCTACCTGCACGAGTCCACCAGGTACTCGCCAAGACACCACCTACCTGCACGAGCCTGCCAGGTACTCGCCAAGACACCACCTACCTGCACGAGCCCACCAGGTACTCGCCAACATACCACCTACTGGCATGAGCCTGCCAGGTACTCGCCAAGACACCACCTACCTGCACGAGCCCACCAGGTACTCGCCAAGACACCACCTACCTGCACGAGCCCACCAGGTACTCGCCAACACACCACCTACCTGCACGAGCCCGCCAGGTACTCGCCAAGACACCACCTACCTGCACGAGCCTGCTGGTGCCACGTGTACCGTACCAGCTGGCGCCCCCATCACCACTGCTGCTCCCCCCGCCCCCCTCAGGGTGCAGGTGTTCCACGTGCTGCGCGGCGCGGACGAGGGCGGCCGCACGCTGCTGGTGGACGGCTTCGGGGCGGCGTGGAGGTTGCACCGCCGCCGACCGGACGCCTTCGCGGTGCTGGCGCGCGTCCCGGTCACGCACGAGTTCAGCGAGGGCGGCGCCGGTGGCGCCGGCGGAGGGGGAGGGGACGCCGCTGGGGGGCGCCAGCACCGGCACCTGCTGCGTGCCACGCACACCGTCGTCGGCACCACTCCCACGGCCAACGGCGGCCACGGGGAGCTCCTCATGATGTGGTGAGCGGAGTTGGGAGGGGGGCGAGGGGAGACGGGGGGACCTGGGTGGGGGGAGAGCTGTGTGGGGTTGGGTGGCAGGTGGGGCGCGGTGGGCTGCGTGGAGATGAGGGGAGTGGGCAGGGCGGGTGGCCTGGGACCTGGGGTTCGGGGGTAGGGGGGGGGGTGGCTAGAGGGTGGAGCGAGGGACTTCAATGGGGAGGCTGTGAGGCAAACCTCTCCCTGCCCCCGATGCTGCCCCCAACACTGACACTGCCCCCCACCCCCCTCCCTTGCTCCCCATCACCAACACTGCAGTTGCCCCTAGCAATGTGACCTCTACCCCGTGACCACCGCCCCCGTGATCACCACCCCAGTGACCACCGCCCCCATGTCCCTCCCCTGCCCCCCCCCCCCATGTCCACCCCCGTGACCACTCCCGTGACCACCTCTGTGACCCCCCCCCCCACCTGTGACCCCTCCACCCGTGACCCCCCCCCCCCGTGACCCCCTCCCCCCGTGACCGATCCCGTGACCACCTCCATGACCCCCCCCCCCCGTGCCCACCCCGTGCCCCCCCATCCACCAGCTACAATAACTACGACCGCGTGTCGCTGGCTGTGAGTGGGCATGAGGAGGCTCGCCGCTGGTACCACGCCCACCGCCACCTCACCGCGCTGCTACGGCAACCCAGCACAGAGGCCTGGTTCCAGCTGCAGCCTGGCACGGTGAGAGCCAGCACCAGCTCCCAGTGGTGGAAGTGGTGGTGCTGGTGGTAGTGGTGGTGCTGCTGGTAGTTCCGGTGGTGAAGGTGCTGGTGGTTGTACACACTGAGACCCACAGATTAGTACAGTTAGCTACGTAAGGTCCAAAATAAATTTAACATACATACAGAGACCCACAAACACCCACAGATTAGCACGGTTGGCTACGTACCGTGCAAAAGATGTTCATACATACATAAAGAGACCCAGAGACACCCAGACTCAGAGACCCATAGAGCAGCATAGTTGGCTATGTATGGTGCGAAGGAAGTTCAACATACATACACGGAGACTTGAGGAAAGGGACCGTTGTCTGTTGGCGACTTGCAGGTGCTGCTGATTGACAACTGGCGTGTGCTGCACGGGCGTGAGGCATTCTTGGGGCCGCGCCGCGTCTGCGGCTGCTACCTGCCCCACGACGACCTCATGGACACCGCTCGTCGCCTCGGCCTGCTTGCCTAGCCACACCCTGCACCATGGCACCCAGGGGAGGCCTGGGGGAGACCCAGGGGAGACCCAGGGGTGACCCAGGGGAGACCCAGGGGAGACCCAGGGGAGACCCAGGGGAGACCCAGGGGAGACCCAGGGGTGACCCAGGGGAGACCCAGGGGAGACCCAGGGGAGACCCATGGGAGACCCAGGGGAGACCCAGGGGAGACCCAGGGGTGACCCAGGGGAGACCCAGGGGAGACCCAGGGGTGACGCAGGGGAGACCCAGGGGAGACCCATGGGAGACCCAGGGGAGACCCAGGGGAGACCCAGGGGAGACCCAGGGGAGACCCAAGGGAGACCCAGGGGAGACCCAGGGGAGACCCAGGGAAGACCATTGACATATCATAGCCACTGTGATGATGATGAGAGCGAGACATGCAAACTCCAAATATACTGCATGCATCGTCAGGGTCGGGAATCGAACCTACCCAAAAGCCAATAAGTTTGAAGGATTCATAATAAAGGTTTTTGGGTTAGATCGCGTTATTTATAAATGGTGTCGTAACCCTCCACCACCCAACACGGCCAATCAGCCAAAAAATGTCACGTTGACAAAAGACGAATAATTCACTACTTTAGCCCACCGGTGTGTTGAAGAGTGAATCCACAACATTTACAGTTTGAGTACGACGTTTCGCTGGTAATTACATCCAGCATCATCGGGCAATTCGCCAGAATGGTAAAGCCCTCGCTTGCTCCCTGTCTTAAATAGAGCAGCAGGGTGACGTCATCATTTAACTCATTTCAGGTGCAGTGATTTGAGGTGGAGGGGGGGGGTATTGTAATTATGTAATCGATTAGTAATCAGTCAATGGTTATGATTAGTATTGAGTTGTAGATTAGTAATTAGTTGTAATGTGTGAGTGATTATATGCTATGTTAGTAATCCGTTAATTAGTGTGTTTCCCCTATAAGGAATTGTAATATGTATTATTTAATAATACGCTTCCAGGCCGCACTAAGCCTGTAGCTGTCAGAGCGATTAAAGTTATTTCTATTCCTCTCAATTTCAATGGATTCTCTAATTAGTCTTTGCCAGTAATAATTAGTTTTACACAACACTTCAACGTTATCAAAATCAATTGAGTGTCCTTGTTGACAAGCATGTTCTGCCACTGCCGACAGTTGTGTTTGAGATAATTTAATATTTCTTTGATGTTCTTTTAGTCTTACGCTGATGTTATGTCCCGTCTGTCCAGTATAGCATCTGCCACATAAACAATTAATCCGATAGACACCTTCTGTTGATAAATTAGGTAATGCGTCTTTAGTGCAAGATACTAGTTTTTGAATGTTGTGTACTGTACCAAATCTTACTGTAATGTTTTGCTTTTGCAAAACACGGGCTAATTTGTCAGGTACTCCTGAGATATATGGGATTTTTATTGTTTTAACAATCTGATCGCTTTCAGCAGTATTGCTTAGCGATCGTGATTTGGCATTCACTGCTCTGTTAATTTGAGCATTATTGTAGCCATTCTGTCGTAGTGCTTCTTTAGCGTGTTTGATCTCTCTCACTAGACTTTCACCATCTGACACTGTTTTAGCCCGATGTATGAGCGTCTTGATAAGAGAGGATTTCTGAGCTGGATGATGATGCGAATCTGCATTCAGATAGGCATCAGTGTGCGTTTGCTTTCTGTAAACGCTGTGTGTTATTTTACCGTTTAGGCCATGTCCAAGCAAAATATCTAGGAATGGGAGTGTGTTATTCACCTTCATTTCCATGGTAAACGGGATGGCCGGGTTTTGTGCATTGAGATGATTTAGAAAATCATTAAGTGTATCTTTACCATGTGGCCAGACAACCAAAGTGTCATCCACATATCTAAACCAAAAAGATGGTTTTAATGTGCTCGAGGCAAGTGCTCTTATTTCAAAGTTTTCCATGTACAAATTTGCTATAGCAGGGGATAAAGGAGAGCCCATTGCTGCTCCTTTTGTTTAAAGAAATCCCCTCTCCATAAGAAGTAAGTGTTATTTAAACAATGGTCAGCAAGTTTCGGAATATTTTTTGGTAAACCTGTATTCTTTACTAGTGTATCAAGTAATTTAAGCGATTCATTCACTGGAACCTTAGTGAATAGAGAAATCACATCAAAACTTACCAGAATATCATTAGGATTAAGTTTAATATCTTTAATCACATTCACAAGATGTTCTGATTTTTTTATGAATGAAGATGTCCTACCGATGTAGGGCTGTATTTGTTTAGTTATATATTTTGCTCATTTATATTTGGCAGAGCCAATTGTACTGACTATGGGTTGTAATGGCATGCCGATTTTATTAATCTTTGGTAGCCCATACACTCTAGGTGGTTTTGAGGCCCTTGGCTTAATTTGGTATTGCTCATTCTTAGGGATTAATGAATTTGCAATTATTGCAGTAGTCTTACGTTCTAAAGTATTAGTTGGATCCCATTTAATTTTAATGTAGGTACTTTCCTCTAGTAAATTTCTAATTTTATTATCATAATCGGCTCGTGACATCACTACATTAGTGCGGCCTTTATCAGCTGCCAGGATTTGGATATCCTTATTTACACGCAGTTCTCTTAAGGCTTTTGCCTCGTTAGAGCTAATATTTACTTTTGGAACTTTGCTATTCTCAATTATTTTGGCAACCTCATGTCTAGTCATCTCTGCCTCATTATGTTTGAAGGACAATGGATATACATTGTCATTATCATCATAAACATATGTTTGTTTGCATTGGTTGGCTACGTACTTTGCTAAAAAAAAGTTCAAAATAAGAATAGATTTTACCTGTTATGGCATTAAAGCAGGAGTTATGTTAAGATGTCCTAACACCAAATCGATACCTTTTACAAGGCATTAACTACACACATTTGTTGCAAAACATGCAAACAGACATGCTTTGATGATAATTTTATATGCATAGTCTTTGAAACTGACTGGCCTACACTAGAGAGACAGCAGCCTTTGTCATGGCCTTGCCTCTGCGTAGTGGGTTCTAATCAGGCGCACACCAAGACTTGGAGGCAACACGTTTATTCACTAACACAACCAACACTTCTCAACGTTCCAAGGTTAACTATGTACATTACAGGTTAACTATGTAAGGTGGTGGCCACCGTTCCTAACCACCTAACCACTTGAACGGAATCACTGTATGGTTGAACCAGAACTGCTGTCGGGTCGTTGTCGTCGGAGACTGAAGAGCGAGGATCGAAGAAGGCGGCGGCTTCATTCCCGGGTCGAACAGCGACACCCCCTTCTCGATCCCTCGCGGAGGCCCTGGTCACGCCCCCTTCTCGATCCTTCGCGGAGGCAACTGGTCACGCCCCCTTCTCGATCCTTCGCGGAGTCCCTGGTCACGCCCCCTTCTCGATCCCTCGCGGAGGCCCTGGTCACGCCCCCTTCTCGATCCTTCGCGGAGGCAACTGGTCACGCCCCCTTCTCGATCCCTCGCGGAGGCCCTGGTCACGCCCCCTTGATCCCTCGCGGAGGCCCTGGTCACGCCCCCTTCTCGATCCCTCGTGGAGGCCCTGGTCACGCCCCCTTCTCGATCCCTCGCGGAGGCCCTGGTCACGCCCCCTTCTTGATCCCTCGCGGAGGCCCTGGTCACGCCCCCTTCTCGATCCTTCGCGGAGGCCCTGGTCACGCCCCCTTCTCGATCCTTCGCGGAGGCCCTGGTCACGCCCCCTTCTCGATCCCTCGCGGAGGCCCTGGTCACGCCCCCTTCTTGATCCCTCGCGGAGGCCCTGGTCACGCCCCCTTCTCGATCCCTCGCGGAGGCCCTGGTCACGCCCCATTCTCGATCCTTCGCGGAGGCCCTGGTCACGCCCCCTTCTCGATCCTTCGCGGAGGCAACTGGTCACGCCCCCTTCTCGATCCCTCGTGGAGGCCCTGGTCACGCCCCCTTCTCGATCCCTCGCGGAGGCCCTGGTCACGCCCCCTTCTCAATCCCTCGTGGAGGCCCTGGTCACGCCCCCTTCTCGATCCTTCGCGGAGGCCCTGGTCACGCCCCCTTCTCGATCCCTCGCGGAGGCCCTGGTCACGCCCCCTTCTCGATCCCTCGTGGAGGCCCTGGCCACGCCCCCTTCTCGATCCTTCGCGGAGGCCCTGGTCACGCCCCCTTCTCGATCCTTCGCGGAGGCAACTGGTCACGCCCCCTTCTCGATCCCTCGCGGAGGCCCTGGTCACGCCCCCTTCTCGATCCTTCGCGGAGGCCCTGGTCACGCCCCCTTCTCGATCCTTCGCGGAGGCCCTGGTCACGCCCCCTTGTCGATCCCTCGCGGAGGCCCTGGGTCCACATCACGTGGCCCGCTCACCCCCTCCTGGGTGTCCCCGTGCCCCCTCGTCCGGCCACGTGCCCCCGTGGGTTCACACAGGCCGTCACGTCCTGACGCGACCTCCGTGACATCCGGAACCTGCCCTCGAGCGAGCCCCTTAATGTAATACACCCACTGGTGCCGAGAGCAGCACCACACATACAGCACCACTCTTCACTCGGTACTGTCGCTACACAGTAGTGACATCATTTACGTCACTCCATCTGCATCAGCAGTGTGAGTAGACCAGAGAACGTCAAAAGACGACCGGTACAAAGGACAATGCAGGTATGAGGGCATTTATAGCTTGGGGTCGAGCAGTTTTATATCTGGGATACATTTTTAGCAGTATCCAAAATGATGAACAATAAGAATAGGGTTGTAACTTGACTTGAAGCTTTCGTGACTGCAGGAATTCATTTTCTTTGGGTCTTTCGTTAGAGTCACGTAGATAGGTTCAAAACTAATAAAACTAATAAATAAAAAACCATGACGTTTCGATCGCAACACGAGCGACCACCGGCTATCAACAAAGATTCGTTCATGAAGCCATCCATATATTTTTACACAGGCACAATTTCAACCGAGAGGATGGGAACAAACACGGCAATCATTGGAAGGACGTCGTCAACCAGTTTAAGTCATAATTGGCTGTGATGTTTCTCCATCGTGTCTTACGGTTTTTGCTGTGTCACCCCGGGGCTCATGCGCTTACCCTTCACTTGATTCTCCAATTTCACATTAACATAACCAGCTCCGCTTGAAGTTGG